TTCCAACACACCCTTCCTCGGGAACCATGGCGTAGCGCGGGTTATCTCCCGCGCTTGTCGCCCGGCCGCCTGCCCGCCCACTTGCAGCTTGGGGCTGGCCACTCACCCGAGAACGCAAAAGCTAGATTGGTCAGCTCTTCTGCGTGCGATGTGGGACATATTATCCTTTGCATGTCCGTAGAGCAGGATGAAAGCCGCCTTGGCGTCTATCTTTCTCTTCCTGAGTCCTCTATCGAGAGGGTAGACGGATCTTACGGCCTTGGCTCATGCTGAGGTAAGCGCATCTCTCGTAGCCACGACGTCATGGGACACATGGTGTACACAAGGAGAGGAGCAGTAGAAGTTGGGAATGTGGACTCGGGAGGTTGACGCAGGAGGATAAGCCAAGAGAATACGCCACCGGGGTATCGGCTGGAGTGCTTGCGACTTTTCGGTCCTGGGTTCCGGAGGGTGCTGGCTTGGGTGGGGGAGTGAGACGTGGTTGGTGGGATGTTGTCGCTGTTTTAGGCGGTCGGATGTTTTTGCTCAGGCATCCATGGAAGTAAAGGGTCGTCTGGCTGGCAGGCTTAGTGGAAAGTTACACGATACAACCTTTTGAGGGCAAAATCGGGAAAAGCGGCGGAATCAAAGAATGTGGCCGATGGCATACCACGCGGTGATGTTCAGGGTGGGGTGGGGGGGACGAGGACTCCTGGACGCGTCGTTCTTACGACGCAAAGAAACAGGTGGCCAGCAAAGGCCACACAGCTCTCTTCTTCTCCATGGAGAAGGAGATTTCTCAATCCATCGTTCGCGGGGAAGGGGCGGAGCACCACGGCTCAAGCCAGATCAACAAAGCATCGACGGTCGAGTCGAACAAGCTGGGAAGATGCCAGACCATCAGCGGCAAAGTGTTGAGCAGCATGGGCGCGAACGCCAACGGCCCCGCACCCGCAGAATGTGGGAGGGAGGGGTGGACAGGTACTGCAGCGAGTAAGCACGCGGCTAGCTTGACGATTCCTCTCGAGATGGCCCGAATGAAAGGCGGGGGAACCAATGGGTTCCAGATCAAATGACCAGGGCTGTCAGATCCGCGAGCGAGTCTGATGAGCGCAACATGTGAGACGGGTGGTGTTGCTGTGCACTGCAATAGAGGTCGAGCACGCTTGAAGTTCTTTCAGAAACTGGTGACGCCTGGTAGGAACGCCAAGGACGGCCTCGTCTGGGGGCCCTAAGGATTGACTTTTGCATCCAAGTCCGTGGCGGCCGTGGAGTTCCCTGGAATCGAACATTTCTGACAGATTGTCTCTTGAGCGAGAATTGCACGGCAAACTCAATCGACACGGGGCGCCAAGCAGCGACCCACGGCATTGGGTGACACGCGAAGGGCGCCGCCCGCCGCCAGCAACAATGGGTTGTATCCATAACGCTGGAGTGATGGATGAGACGGAGACGAGGGGTGAGAAGGTTGTAGAATAAACAACCACTGGCGCTGTGGCGAGTGCCTTCTGGTGCGTGTGACAGGTGGCAGCCTGTGTCCGCCGATTTGGTTGGGGATCGGTTAAAGTCGTCGCTCGTTGGCTGGCCTGGACATTGATCAGCCATCGACAAAGGAATGGCACAGACGTACAAGCAGGATGAAGTAGCTCGTCTCGTCGAGTCGTGTTCGGGGCGCTGAGTCGCTGGGCTCTCGTTGCTGTCGGTCGATTCGGGGCATGTCGCTACAGACGGTCCCGACTCCCTGTTCAGGCTGTGAACAGGGGGCCCTGGGAGGCGCAATCGCCAACGCGCCACCCCATGTCGCCCCCCCATCTCGTCCTAGTGTTGCACTGGCGGATGGACTAGGCCAAGGCAAGCCAGGGGTGTGCGGTGTCGGTGACGGCGTCGGAGTCTGGAGTCAGTGTCCTGTGTGGTGCTCAGGAGTCGGCTGATGGGTGGCCAGGAGGAGATGTTCGAGACGGAAAGGCAAAGGGCGGAGGGCCTAAGATGGAGAGATGGCAGGGGGAAGATGGGAGATGGAATGAGAGAGATGCACTGCAGTTGGAGAGGCACGAGACGGGGGAGGCTGACATTGCCCACAGACGACATGGTCCAGTACGAACAGGGGAAGGCAGAGGCAAGCAGGCGCCATAGAGCAGCCCGTCTGCTTGTCTCTCGGTTGCCCCTGCCTCTCCCGCTGTTCCTGAGGTGTTCCTGCTCCCTGCTGCTCCCTGCTGCTCCCCCAAACCCCCTCCCCATTGCCCCCCCCCCCTTAGCCCCTGCCCCCCCTGCCCCCATGCCAGGCTGCACCTGCTCCTGCGGCACAACACCTGCAACGGGCCTCTCCTCCAGTTTTCCCCGCCACTGAAAGCACAGATCAGGCCGTAGCAGAGTAGCAACGGTGGAGGGCGTAGGCACTAGCCTCCATCGGACCAGTGTCAGGCCCTGGCTCTTGGGTCTCGCTCTGGCCCTTCTGGCTCTGGCTCTGGAAGTGGAAGCGGAAGTGGAAGCCTTGGTCTGCGACCCTTTTCCCTCACTGTATCCCACTCTCATCTTCGCTCCCTCAGCTACTTGCACCATTGCTACTGCTCCTCCACCACCTCCACCTCGCGTACGCCTTCATTGACGCACGCTTCCTCCCCCAGCCTGCCCGACGCTGCTCTGTCGTCTTCTGGGATCGACCACAACATCGAAGGCATATCCCGTTGAGCAACGCCGCCCCGCTCGACGACGCGATTCGCCTGGCTGTCGATCCATTGGATCTCCCGTCGTCGCCTCGCCACCATCCCGCACTCATTCACGTTCTGTACTCGACGCTCGACGCTCGGCGCCAGCCATTGTCGTCGCACACAGCAATTCCAGCTGTTAGATAGAGACTATACGAGCACGGGTCATTATTTCGCATACGTCCGAGCATCAACATCCAGCAAGCGTACCGCAGCCGTCCTCCCGTCCTCTGCCCAACCGTACATCAACCCAGACCGCGGCATAGATCTCAGCAACGCCACACCAATTTCCGACATTGGCCATTTCGTGTTGTCCGAGAATATTTTCAGATTGCATTCGAGGCATCGTTTAATACAAAGAGGCCACCGAGTGCTTTTGTGCCCTCATTACAAATCGCCACCATGGCAGGATTCCTTAATAAGCTGAAGAGCGCGGGAACAGTACGTTGCGAGGATGCAGACTTGCGCGCCACGTCGCCGGATCAGCTTCCCTTGTGGTAGCCACCGGTATATTCAAGTACTTTTGCTGACGCGGAATTTTCACACAGGGGACCACGAGTCCCGCGGGCAAAGATGCCGCAGCCAAAAAGAAAGAAGCTCTCGAGCCGCCCCCAGAAATCACGCCTCTGGAGAAGATGCTTCAAAATGCTGGCCCTCTGCGAGACGACGGCACCGACCGCTTCTTTGGTCTCGAGAACGTGAGTCTTGCCCCCCCCATTCACCCTTGCCTCTTCGGCGAGACACCAATAGCTAATCGCTTCTTCTAGTTCGGCAACACATGGTAGGCCTTTTACCGCTTTCCATCCTAATTTTCTGGTCTCCGCTAACTGAACAAGTTACTGCAACTCGATTGTGCAAGCACTATTTTACCAGGATGCTTTCAGGCAAAACGTCGTCAACTACCCGCCCTACTCCCCATCCGAAACACCCAATGGCGACGGCACGCGGCCCAAGGTACAAGTGAGCATCCGGGCCGCCGATGAGAAGGAGACCGGTCAACCCAGCAGCGA